AAAGAGGAGGGGAAAGAGGAGAAATTCTGGGAGTGAAAGCCACAAAGTCTTAAGGCTGTCCAATTTAAACCCCCCTGTTTTTTTTTTTCCTAAAGGGTTAGGGGTGCAACGGTCTTGTAACCTGACAGCTTTAAGACTTGCGTGCTTCAAATGCCAGAGTTTCTGAGCCAACATTTTGGTTGCTAAGCAAGAGCTTGTTAAGTGAGTTTCACCACATTTTACAAGTTGGCCACGCCCACCCAGTCACATGGCCGGCAAGCAACTCCCACAAAGCAGGCCACACCTACAGAAGAGGTTCTAAAAAAATTTGAAACCCACCACTGATCTAAACACACATGCTTTTCCTTTCCTGAAGGTTTAAGTACAGCAGGATTGGGCATTCATATACCACAATTCTGGAAATAGACACAGAAGGTGTTGCTTGTTTTTTAGGCAAGCTGTAGGCTATGAAGACAATATTGCCTTGCCTAAGAGTAAGGCAGTTGAGTCCTTCAGCCCATCATGAATCCACTTGAAAACTTGGGAAGGGCACAGTAGACAATAACATTTATCAGGAGCACTTTTCAAACTCAGAAATAGCATTCAGATTGCTTTTGAGCCATCTCATGGAGTCTGTGGGCAAATATGAATTACTCCAATGTAGTGCTTCAGACTTGCTTCAGCTAAACACAGGGCCTTCCTTCTATGATAGGGTAGCATTACAGTACAGGTAGTCCTCAACTGACGACTTATAATTCATTTAGTGATCATTCGAAGTTACAACGGTGGAAAATAACAAAGAGTTGTTTTTGCATTGGACATAATTTAACATTTTTAAGAACATATGCTTAGAAAAATAATGTGCCTTAGAATTAACACGAAAGTATAAAAGTTAGAAGAAGAGGAAATGCCTGTCGTCTTAGAAAGAAAAGCTAGCTGATAGAAACATGGCAGCTGGCAGTTTAACCACAAGAGCTTACAGAGAAGCATAGGATAAAGAAACTAACTGCTTATTTCAGTTTCTTGTGCCGATGCAAATGGGTTACAACAGTCATGGCTAACCTTTTTGGGCTTGGGTGCTGAAAGTGTGCATGCATGTGCCCATACCCATATTCAATCCCCTCCGCGCCCCCCCTTGCATGCATGCATGACCCACCCATCCCGCAGCCCTGCCACCCCCACCCCTATTTCTGGTAGGCCCGTTTTTCACCCTTCCTAGGCTTTGGAGGCTTTCCTGAAGCCTGAAGAGGGTGAAAATGACCTCCCCCCCAGTCCTCCCTTTGAAGGCTAAAAATCAGTTGGCCAGTGCACTCATGAGCACTGCAGCTGATGTAGGGCAACGGCTCGCGTGCCCTCAGAGATGGCTCTGCGTGCCACACGTGCCATGGGTTCACCATTACGGGGTTACCAGAAAGCAGGATCTGTGGGCTACTCACTGCTAAAAGCAAACAAGGGAAAAGTGGAACTAAGTAAAGGGATATGGAGAAATGTAAACAGGGAGGGGATAGAGGCATTCCGGAATGGTTGTGAATCTTATGGCTCTTTTCGAAAACAAGGGAGGGACTTGCACTTCTGGCTGAGGGAATGAAATGCTGCTGGAATCTATCTTTGGGTGTACCTACTTTGCTAGCCACCCTCTCTTGAAAAAAAACACATATTTTTCAATAAACTGCTTGCAGCTTCACTCAATGACTTTGTCAAATCTCTGAGTGGTGAGTCTGTTTCTCACACAACGGCAGTGAAAAAAGTGACTTATGACCAGTTTTCAAACTTGCATCACTGCATCCCCATGGTCACATACCGTATTTTTCAGGGTATAAGACGGACCTTTTTCAACCAAAAAAGAGGGTGAAAATCTGGGCGCGTCTTATACACTGAATACAGCATTTTTAGCCTCCTGAAACCACGCCCCCTTTGCAAAAATGGCCGTGCAGAGCCTTTAGGAGGCTTCCAAAGTGTTCCTGGGGGCTGGGAAGGAAAAAAATGAGTGAAATACAGGTTGTTTTTTTGCTTCTTTCCCCCCCCCCAGCCCCCAGGAGCACCCTACAAGCCTCCTAAAGGCTATGCATGCCATTTTTTTGACAAAAAACAGGCCCATTTTCATGAAAACTGGGCTGTTTTGGGGAGGTCTGCAGAGGATAAAAACTTTTTTAAAAAATTTGCCTCTTCAAAATCTTGGTACGTCTTATGCTCCGGTGCGTCTTATACTCTGAAAAATGCACTAATCAAGATTTGGACTTGTGGCAACTGGCCATGTATTTATGACCTTTGCACTGTCCCAGGGTCATGTAATCACCCTTTCTAACCTTCCCAGCTGATAAGCCAAGTCAATGGAGGAAACCAGATATGCTTAATGACTACAGGATACAATTAACAACTGAATGATTTCGCTTACCAACCATAACAAAAAAGTTGAAAACGGGGGCAAAACTCACTTAACAACTGCCTGGCTTAATAATGAAAATTTTGTTGAGGAATACTTGTACTCTTGAAAGTGAATGAGTATTGCAATGCTTGTAGTTTTAACGTATTTTAAGATTTAAGTTCACGTCTTTTTCAGAAATGTGCTATTATTTTTGTGATTTCTCTTATTGTTTCCATTGTACTGTGGATGTCTTTTTAGAAGAGTACATAAACATTAATCCAAATTTCCTGGAAGAAACGAAAGCCACCTTCCAGTCACTTGGCAGCGAGCAAGTGAACAAACAAGTGCATTTAGCGTTCTTGGAACGAAAGTGAACCATCCAGAGTTTCCTGACGGTGACAGGGAAAATTAGACCCAGAGAAAAATGCTGAAAGGATGGCATTGGGGCCAGTATCACCCATGCATGAAATTTAAACAATAATTTTGTATGCCTTGTAAAAAGTGCCAATTATCTCAGTTAAAAGGCAGTAATGTAATAACATTTATATTTTCAGATTCCGAAAATCAAATCTGTTAAAAATTCTGAACTTAAGCCAATAATAGAGAGACCTGATATCTTTACCATGTCAAGGGTTTGAGGCATTGCCTGGCGGCTGCATGGCTACCTGAGTGATGCACAGAGAATACTGACATACATAAGCTCTTTTACATAGTAGGAAACCCATGGACTCAATAGCTTCTTTCAATAGATTATTGTTCCCCTATTATTTCTGCAAACTTGAGAATGGCAAATTTCTATTGGGCAATAAAGCTTCTGTTTTGGCTACAGTATTAAAAACAGAAAAAGGCAGCTTGGTTTTGTAAGCTGCCAAGAATCACTGAATTGTGGCAGGTCACACATTTCATAGATAAATGCGCAGTTTGCGCCTGGGGTACTAAGACTTGATATCCCATGCATTATGTACTGATAAGGAAGGAGCTTTGTACATTGCAATTATAGTTAACCTGTTCCTCCTCTCTCTCATCTCTACAATCACCTTACAAATTCTTCCTCACTATAATTCCAATATGTTGATGATGATATGCATTCAGTCATGTCTGATTCTTGGTGATTCTATGGGTCACGTCTCTCCACCTCTTCTGATCTTCCACAGCTTCTTTGAGTTGCTCTTGTGCTCTGGCTGGTGTCAACTTTGATGGTGATAATTCCAGTGCTATTACCTTAATATTCCCTGTTGGTTGACAGAGGGGGGGGGGATCTATGTTTGGAACCATTATTCAAGAATTTTGAGCATATGCTCCCACTAATTTTAAGGTTTGTTTGTTGTTGTTTTGGTTCTGAAAGGGTGGTTCACATGCTGTAAAACTAACATTCAATGACATACCTTAGTCCCTGAAGGGGATAGGTATCTTTGCTGAATTGCAACTCAT